TCCGCCCCCCGGGTCCCTGGTGGCCCCCCCCCCTGCCCACTACTCCCCCCCAGTCGGGACCCTGAGGCAGCCGCCTCAGTTTGCCTCATGGTAGGGCCAGCCCTGGCCTGCAGAGTTTAAAATGTTTCCCAACCAGCCTGCTTGCCTGGCCATGTGTTTCATGAATAACAGCCCAGGAGAGGGGCATGGTTCTTCTTAGCTGCCTGTTATTCTAACAAGCAGCTCCCATCAGCTGGTTTCTGCCAGAAACCGGCCAATGGGAATGTGCTGGGGGCGGGGCAGCACCTAAAACTTCTCCCCTCCCCTCCAGTTTCAAAACAGAAAGGGAGCCTTGCAGCTGCTTTTCTGCACAGCATGTGCGGCTGCGGGGCAAGCAGGGGAACATGCCTGGGGCTCCCCGCTGCCTCCACAGGCTAGATCAGACCTGCGGGCTGTATTTTGCCCAGGCCTGGCATAGCCACTGGTCCTCCGAAGACTCTGTCTTGGAACGTGTACTGTTCAACATATTCATAAATTATTTAGAAAGGCTAAAAGAGTGAGGTGGCTACGTTTTCAGACAATACAAAATTACTCAGCCTACTTAAGTCCAAAGCTGACTGCGAAGAATTACTAAAGAATTTCACTAAACTGGGTAACTGCAGAATGAAATGGCAGATGAAATTCACTGTTGATATGACCAAAGTAATGCACGTTGCAAAAAATAATCCCAGCTATTCCTATTAAATCATGTGTTCTACATTAGCTGTTACCACTCAAGAAAGATCATGGAGGTGTCATGTAGCATTCTTGCAAAACATCTGCTCAGTGAGCAGCAACAGTCTCCCCTCTTCCCCCCCCCCAAAAAAGTTAACAATGTTAGAAACTCTTGGGAAAGGGATAGATAAATAGAAAATAGCATTATATCACTATATAAAAATCTTTGGTACTTGAATGTTGGGTGCCGTTCTAGTCACTCCATCTAAAAGAAAAAATATGTTAAAACTGGAAAAGATACAGAGAAGAGTAATGAAAAAGATTAGAAGTATGGAACAGCTTCCATAAAAGGGGAGTTTAAATAAAAAGTTTAGGACTGTTCAGTTTAGAACGGAGACAACTAAGTGGGGGTATGACAGAGGTCTATAAAATCATGAATGGTATGGAGAAAGTGAATAGGGAAATGTTATTTACCCTTTTGCATTACAAAAGAACTACGGTTTATTCAATAAAATAGGTAGCAGTTTTAAAACCTAAGGAAGTACTTCCTCACACAATGCAGTCAACTTGTGAAATTCATTGTCAAGAGATGTTTTGAAAACCAAAAGTATAAAAGGGTTCAAAAAAGATTTAGTTAAGTTCATGGAGAATACATCCATTGATGGCTATTAGTAGGGTCTTACAAAATTCACGGCCCATTTTGATCAGTTTCACTGTCGGGGTATGTCTACATGGCAGGGCAAAAGTCAAATTAAGCTACACAACTTGAGCTACGTCAATTGCGTAGCTGAAGTCGAAATAACTTAATTCGGCTTTTGGTGTTGTCTACATAGCAGGAAGTCGAAGAAAGAGCACTCTTCCTTCAACTTCCCTTACGTCTCCGGAAATGAGGGTTATAGGAGTCAGAGTAAGAAGTTCATCATCTAGAAATTATTTTGAAATAATGGCTTTCTGCGTAGACACACACTTTGTCATTTCGAAATAACGTCAATTATTTCAAAATAAAGCTGCAGTATAGACATGCCTTAGGTGGCCAAGGATCTTGTATATGCTTCTCTTGTATTCTGTAGTTCTCCCTCGTGTTTCCTTTATTGTACATTTTTTCCATTTATCTCTTTCAAATTTCTCTCTTCTTTCAATGGGCCTGTGTCTTCCCATTCCTGTTGAATCTGAGCATCTCATAGTTTTCAAATTTCTCTCTTCTTTCAGTGGGCCTGTGTCTTCCCATTCCTGTTGAATCTGAGCATCTCATAGTTTTCAATGTAGCTAGCTCAACAATACAGTATCTCTAATGTAGGAATATATTCGAGAGGTAGCTATGTTAGTCTACAACTTTAAAAGCAGCAAGTAGTCCTGTGGCACCTTAGAGACTAACAGATATATATATATATAGCATCATGAGCTTTTGTGGGCAAAGCCCACTTCTTCAGATGAGATGAAGGGGTTAAACAGGGAGGTTTCGCTGTGGGCTCTGCAGCCAGCTCGCCAGGAGCAGGGCTGGTATATATAGTATCATGAGCTACTTCAGATGAGCTTGAGTGGAGAAAAAAAAACTCAGGCTCATCTGAAGAAGTGGGTTTTGCCCACAAAAGCTGGGTTTTGCTCATGAAAATATGTATCATATATATATTTTAAAAATCACAGGACTACAAAAATATTATTATCCCCATTTTATAGATCTTCACTCTCTTGGTACCTTCTGTCCCCATCTAGGCCACTAAGTAGTTCAATTTCTTGTGGCCTTTGCCTTCGCCAAAGCTTCATCCTTACCTCAGGGCTCATGTAACTTCAGGTCCAGAAGCCAACCAGAGACTCTGTCTTCCCACCTCAAGGTAAGTTTACACTACAGAGT